CAGAAATGAGAAAATAACAGTAAATTAATGTTTAAAAGATTAACATTACAGATAAAATAATTAGTACATTTATAACATTCATTGAAGTAAAGTCCTGCACTACCAAGAGTAGCAATCTCTCCGAAGGAACAAGTTGTATCCACTCTATCCGAAATTTGGTACGAAACAGTTTCGATGCAGATAATTAACGTTTCTTTCCCAACACTGTGTGCCATTACGACCTACCGCGGAAAGACGGAAGAGACCGTGAGCGTACGGACAGGGGCTTTCTTTCAAATCTCTATCTCTCGCCTGAAATTAAAAGAGAGATACAAGGAGAGGAAATGAAAGGAATCACAAATTTGTGCACCAACGAACGAGAGAGGCTGGAGAACCATAATCGAGAACGATAACCTCCACCGTCGTGGACGTCTCGTCGCCGACGGAATCCCGTGCTCCGCTCGCGAATCGCGACGACTGGCCGGCGACGAACTGGGAATCGACCCGGCGGAATTCCGGCCGGCCGTCGCGCGTACGTAAACAAAGAGCTCATCGGCGAGAGCGGCGAAGGGAGCGCGACGCCGGCCCTCGCTCCACCGCCCGTCAAACGCGGGCCCTGCGGCCGTCGCGGGACCAGCGAGTCGCGCAGGGCCACGTGTCGCCCGCCAGAGACACCCGTCGCCGGCCACCCACCTGGCGTGATCGATGTCCTCGTCGTCGGTTGACCCGCGGCCGGGGATCTTCGCGGCACGGCTCGACCTGGGGCGGCGCAGCATCGTCGGCACCTCGCCACGAGAAACGTGCGCGACGTCGACGTCGTCGTCGTCGCCACTCATCGCACCACTCCGCTCTCCGCTCTCCGCCGCTCCGCGACTTGTGCGCGCAAGCGCGCCGCGCAGCCTCCGAGGAGTCCGAGGCATCGATGTATCGATTGCCGCGAAAGCGGCGACTTTCGAACGGCGCGAGAACCGACCCGCGAATCGCGTCCGTTTGATTATACAGGCTGAGGAAAAATACCGGGATCCCGAAATATTTCGAAAAATATAACCTTTATGAAAAAACGTATCAGACAAAAGTTGTAGGACTTCAGCTAACGCATTACATAGCAATATCAGTATGACGTTGAATAGCGTTGTCGAGGTCATGTGAAGGCCATCTTAAATTTCTTAAACGAAACCCCCTATTGTTTATTATACTATCTTCTTCTATTAATTAATATGAACAATTTTTGTCTGAAACATTTTTCTAATTTCAGCCATGTATAATGGAGACGACAAATACAAAATAAAGTTAGTCCTGTATACAGGAAAAGTTGATATAACTTTACAAAAAATTGAATCTTGTTGTGAGACAATAATTCATACGTCTTGAAGATGTCTATAACGCGGGTATAGTCTGGGCACAGAGAAGTGCATTAATTCAATAGTTTGACTTGTCTAGATACTTGATCTTTCTCCGTGTTGATAACAATCAATGCGTTGTTCATTCGAATATGAAAATACATACACTTGTTTTACTTACGAAGTTTCTCTAGATGTTCAATCGTGCGTAGAATTGCCGGGTTCTCCACGGGTGACACGTGTCGCGCGAAGTAGATGTCTCAAGATTATAATACTGATGGCCACGATACTTGGCGAGCGGTAAATGATTCGAGAGCTTCGTACAAATATCTGCCTTTCTTTACTCGTCTACCGGTGTCTCCGGTACGTGTCTTTTATCGATAATATTGACTTGACATTTGGATCGAGAGTGATCTCGGTGACGATTCCCAGAAGAATCATCGCCGGTGTGTCGTCATCAGCGACACCTGCCATTCTGAGAATGGACGAAATAAGCAGTTAACTTTTAATTTCTATCGACTATTCTGGTTAACAGTCAAATCCTATTAATGTCAATCTCGAAAATTTTAGACTTACTTGGTTCTTGCAATCATCAACTTAATTACTAAAAGCTGAGTAATTGAATCATTACAAGTTATGTATGCTGTTTGATCTAAAAGAAATTATTTTTGTATATACTATATCGATAAAATCAAATTATTGATTAAAATGACCAGATCTCCCGATTCCTGAACGGCATCTCGTTTCTCCACTTTTCTGTATCGAGAATATAAGCTTTCAAAGACATTTGAAAATGTCTGCTAAATCGTAGCTCAATTATCATCAGATTGGCAGGATCGGCAACTTTCATCTCTTGGCGGGTTTGATATAAATTCTTTTTATTTAAACAATCTCTAGCTTCCTCAGGAAAGTACAAGTTTCCATTATATCCTCGCACCAACAAATAATATTGTTCTCGTTAAAATACAAATTGTTTCTGCATCGTGTGTACATGTGTATCGTATTTTCGCTGGTTCGCTTAATAGCTCGATAATATCGTTATGAGGATCCTCCGTGAGAGGTCACGGATGCGGAAGACGGAAAAAGGACGTGCATTCGAATTCTGTCGCCGCCGAAGCTTTGCGTCTCAGCTTGGAAAGGAGGAAGACAAAGAAAAAACAAAAGAGGAATGAAACGCATACCAGGCACCAAATACACGCGTCTCGATATGTTTCAGTAAGGAAAACAATGCTACAGCACCATGTTTCTACGTGTATGTGGTACCTTCATGAGAGACACGGCTCGCTACTTTAAGATTTTTCTCGAAGAACTGGATAAATGTTACTCATAACTCTAGGATGCACTTCGAGGTTTCTTCAACAAAAGTGACTTTGAATGCGTCTTTTCGTGCAAATTTCCCACGCGTCGGATCGCCGTGCTCCGAGATCGTTTTACCACGAAAGATCTAGACATCACCTTACGCCGAGCGAGCAAACGCACGGTTTTAGTTGCACATTTCGGGTAGTACATTTCAACTTATTTAAAAGATAGCTGTAATAAATAAATCGTGAAACGAGCGAACGAGCTTGTTTCCATCTACTACTCGTATTCACTTCGTAATATAATAGCCGATAGATTGCTGCAAATGATCTAGTATCCTAGAATTAAAAGCACGCTCCAGAGGACCAGCGAAAACGCAAAATTTTGAAAGAGAGGAAAAAGGTCGAGGCGCAGTCTCCGACCGCTATTTGGGGAGTTCGAATCAAATATTTATCCTCCGAAGAGAGCTATAGAAAATTGGGAGGGGGGGGGGGCGCTTTGCGGGAAATTTATCTGGAATGTCTCAATAAAAATTCATCTGTTATGCCAAAGCGTTTAATCGTCAAAGAGTATCGAGACGAACTTTCAAGTTTGTTCTCGCCCATTTCGTCGATTATCAGAATGTTATCTCGTGCGATCTCTTTAATTAGTAATAATCTTTCTTTTCATCTTATTCACACACGTACATTTGGTCACAAATCTGTATGTACACTGTTAAGTGGAAAGAATTAATTTAAAAAATTTGGAAATAAACACTTATATTAAATTACAACGTTCCCGAATCTACATTTGATTGTAAAAAAAATTCCCCTAAAAAACCGCAGGCAAATAGAAAAGATTTTTAAAAAATAATCAGGCACAACTTGAGTAAAAGATTGGATCATCTCTCGATTATCTCTGCAAGTTCTTTTTTTCTACCGTAAACTACGACCAAACCTACGTGCTGGATTATCTTAAGAGTATAAATTGACGACTATAAAATGCTTTAGTTCTCGTTCATTATCTGCATAATAATAATAAAATAATAACGGTACTAAATTGTAAACATTAATATTAATAATATAACACTACTAATTTGTAAATTTTTAATATTAAATATAATCGAAAAATATCTATCGCGTCCTTACTCCTGTACTCTCTTCTCCTTTCTGCTTCGCGTATCATTGTAACTCACGGCTGATGATAATAATGTAGCAAAGTACACGTTCTTTCGTGATATGGCGCGATCGTTTACATTACTTCGCGATCTCCTCTTCTACGTAAAGCTTACATACGGCCTCGTCCGTATCACGCCACTATCGCTCTTTACTTTGCATTCCATCGTATGAAAAATTGGCAGCGTCTCGAGGTTCAAGTTAGTAGTAGTCCCGTTGCATACAGAATGTTTTCTCAAAAAGGCAAAAGATTTTAAAAATTATAATGGCATATAATTGCCACAAATGTATTCTCTCTATCACTTGGCGCCTCTCTCTCTCTCTCTCTCTCTCTCTCTCTCTCTCTCTCTCTCTCTCTCACGCGCGCGCGCGCGCACACACGCACGCACACGGATAATTATTTCCCTTATCGCATTCTCTCCCTCTCTTGCACTCGTTCCCTCATTCTTTCGAAAATCTTGATAGCCAAAGCAGTTTCGGTGGGTACCGCGCAATTCAACCTTATGTTGAAAGTTTGCAGAACAAATTCTTTATGGCGCGATATCCTTACATCTCTTTCTCTCGGCTAGTCGTTATATTAGTACTACTTATAGTACTTCGATATACATATATATTTATATACTTGTATGTATATCAAGTAAAGGCCACGAGTGTGTTCAATATAAAATCGCTAGAGTTATCGAAACTCGCTCGTACGAAAATAGTTCGGTACGGTTTTACAGTAGTAAATAGGCCATGCCATCGTTGAATCGCTTACGTTCATTTATCCAGAATAACGGATTGCGCCGCGCAAGGACAACCGTGATATGCGATTTACGATGAACAAGACGTTCATCTAAAAATAAACAATTGAAATTTTGAAAAAGAATAAATTGAATATTTATATCTGTGTTCGCCAAGAGTTTCTCTAAATACATAGAGAGTACTTATCCGTTAGTAACATTTGTTCAAGAAGACTCTAATCTAAAAAAGTAACGAATAGAATTGAATGACGTGAAATGTCTCCTTGCTCAAAACGGTCGCTGCCCAGTATGAACCTCAAAATGGATTACGTCTAAATTTCCATCTACCTCGCTACAAGTGAGCCACGTGCTCTACCTCGACTCTTCTATGGTCGGTTTTCCAGTGTGCAACTTAACATATCGTCAGTCAACTAGTCGACGTCGAGCAGCTCTTCCAACGTACATCCTGCCTACAAATATGGCCCAAATTAAGCGTACAAAATAGAAGAAAGCCATCCGTAAACGGGTAACGACCGTGACGCATTGGCCGAGGTGCGAGCAATGGTGGATAGCGCTTCCCAAAAGCGAATCCTTATTATCGAGGACGGACGATACGTGACGGCGCGATAAGAACCGCGACGAGTAGAAACACACCGGTGAGTAACCAGTGGACCGATGTCTTGCGACGCGAACAAATGACCGGCAGTAATACTTATTGTATGAGGCGAAACAATACTGGCACCTCGGTGATCGAGATGTTGGATCCGTCGACGCGTGGAGAAGGGTTTAAGTAACGGTAACGAGCTAATTCAATACGGGAAATTTTCTCGTCACTTGGTCGTTAAGTGCCTCTATCTTGTCGAAACCTGAATAATATCGTTAACTAAATTATTAGAGTAATAATAACATTCAGAACTTAGTTTCTGCTACTAGGAGACAGTTAAAGTAAGGAGGACTGTATCAGTTTCGCACAAGCGAGGAACTTCTACGTAAAGTAGCGAGAAAATTACTCGCGCTCCTGAGGCACGTGTACGATTCCGCGATAGAGCCAATCGTGCAGCGTTAATTATAACGTGGAAGTATAATGTGGAAGACGGCGCGAGTCTCTCGCTCTCGTCGCGTTTCTCATCCAAAAGGGTGAGAGCTTTGATTATCGGTTTACATGAAGGTATAGAATCGTCGTCAGACTAACGTGGAATATTGCTCATAATTCTCGTTGTACAATAACGGTTGTCATTCGCGCAAATTTTGAGAAAGGCTGAAGTTTGATTGATCGGAAATATATATGTATATGTATATATATTGTACATATATGTATATATATGTATATACATATATGTTTATTGTTATTCAAATTATTCTATTTATACATCGACTGTAGAATCTCTCCAGAATACCTCTTTCTATTTCTCCCCCTGTCTTATCTCCTATTAATCGCTTTCGCTTTCTCTTTCTCTTTTCCTTGTCGTCATCTCGTTATCATTTAACTGCATTCCCCGCTTTCGCAAAGTCGGGTGAGAAATTGAAGGTAGGAAAGGAAATGTGTAAGATAAGTGATTAGACGCACGCACATTAATTTACATGTTTTCGAACTGATCAACGCGGCGTTTGGTATTGCCCTTGCGAATCTCGCGAAGCGTCTTGTATTTGTCGCGGCCCTGGCGCACGTTTTCCCTGTGGATCTTATCCATCACCGTTTCTTTTGACTCGTCACGTGACTGGGCGAGATCTTGCTTCAATGCCTGTCAATAAAAGCATCCTATTATAGTAGGTCGTGCAGAATTTTTCGCAAAGTTTGCGTCAGGTTTCACAAAAATCACGTATTTCCAGATTTCAGACAATTAAAAGTACAAGCTTCAACTTTGTATGAAGTTACAAGGTTGCTTAAAATAAAAATAAAAAGCTGAATACAACATATACCGAAAACGGGTCATCAATGTACCTTCAGTTGGTCGTGGAGACGTTCGTTTCTCTCCGCTAAAGTGCGTCGCTCCTCGACGGGATCGATTATTGACTCATCGGTCGCGAGATCCTTGGTGACATCTCCGTGAGGAACCTCATCCTCACCTTCCTCCTCGCCCTCTTCATTCTCCTCGACGTGATGATGATGCGGAGTCTGATTGGCTTGATATTGCCGGTCAGCCTCTTCTTGTCTCATTCTTGCATAACAAGTAAGATAAACATGCCAATTATCGCCAATTATGTTAATTCGGAGACAGAGGATTAGAAAAAAAGGAGAAAATTGCTCATACTTGGCAGCTTCGAACTCGGCCTGTAATCTCCTAGCTTCCGCATCCTTAGCCTCCACCTCAGACTGTATGCGTTGCACCTCCTCCTGCTTGGCTCTTATCTCCTGTTCGAGTTTAGCGCGCTCTGCAGCCTCCATCTCGTGCGAGAGCTCCAATTTCTCCATCATCGCTGTCAATTCCTGCGTCATACGCAACATACGCAAGTCACGAGTGAAAAAAATGCGCAGACACATGCGTACGCCACAATAGAAATTATGTAATTACAGCTAAAGGTCGTGACATTGACCATTCATTGGTAGCGTAGCGATAGTTTTTCTTGAAATCACATCTTCTTCAAACGGACTCACCTTCTGGCGATTCTCTAGCTCTTCCTTGGCAGCCTGCAATTGCTTCAGCTGCTCCTCCAAGCGCCGAATCATTTCTTGAGCCTCGTTCAACTCAGCTTGCCGCCTATCCATTTCCTCCGCCATATTTCTTAGCCTCTCTTCGTATTCCTGTTGCTTCTTCTCTGCACGCTCTCGGGCAGCTATCTCCAGTTGCAGTTTCTCTCTCTGTTGCTGTTTCGCCATCTTTTCGTCTCTGGCTTGAGCCTGAAGAAATTTTATCATACAATTTCGTTACAATGTTCAGAAACAAAATTCCCTCTTATAATTTATTAAAGTTAATCCTAACGGTTGATTATTTACAGCTCTTAGTTAATTGTTCAATTATACTACTTTACTTCTAGATGGATTCAATATGCTAAAATGATTACGTAAAGAGGTGTCAAATATTGCTAATGATAAAGCTAAATGATAATAATATAATAATATAATCAGTTTTAGATAAGCATCTGCAGCAATAACTATGCTTCGTTCATTTCGCGGCTCAATACAATATAACGTAATGTTCCTACCTTCATCTGCTGCACGTCGATCGTGTCCGGCTTACGTCTGCGCATGTAGAGCTCGTGATTGCCCATGCATAGCGCAAGAATTCTTTTGTTAATCTTGACTCTGGTGGCGAAAAATACAAAGTCCGGTGCCTTCTTGTCGATTGGCTTGATTATAAATTTCTTATCGTTGAACGAGATATTCCGTATCTCGGACCAGGGGAAGCCGATTTTCGGCGTGAGCTTATCGTCCTTCTCGTAGATGTTCACACCTAAAGCATCCACACCCAACCAAAGGTCTGTGCCCTTCTTGTTGCGAATTTCAAAGTAATTCACACCATACATTTCTAAGTCCTACGGAAAGCAAAAATAAAGGAAAATACTAAAAAAAACGATACCACAGTGATATTAGTCCGAGAGTGGCGCTATTATCCCGCAACGTTTTCGCACGGCAAAACATTTTCCGAGCGCAGAAACGGAGTCCGCGAAATGCTCTTGGAAAGACTGGTCAAAAAACACTGTCTCGCAAACAAATGTCACCGTGAAAATACGATATTATGCGAGTAATTAAAAAGTATAATCAAAACACGTCGTAGTTGCACAGATACGGAGGCCTTCAGGAATGGATTGCAGCTCAAAGCTGACGAGAATGCACTTGGCATAGTGCAGCTCATATAAACGCAAAAATAAGGCGATCGGTATGAATATCGTCGACGACACGTGTGTCATATTCGCTCCGCTCCATGAAGTCTCCGCCACACGTCTCGGTTTTCTTGCACGCGCTGTTTACCTGAGCAATTTTCAGATACTCCATCATAGCGTCCTCTCGCAGCATACCACGATGTTCCTGCCACCAGTTTGTAATAGAGCTGTCCCATTCCTCCTTGCTCATTTTATGTTGGTCCACCACGCGCTGTGGTAACAGCCGATCATTTGCCAGAAAGCCAGCGGGATGGTTGCCCTTCTGATAATCTCCGTGTCTCGCTTGAACGGCGTACGAAGCCAACAGAACGGATGTTTCCGGTGGGCAGTATATTTCATCCGTGAGAATGGCATTCTTCACCTGCAATCAATTGAAACATTGATATCGATCGTCTGATTGTAAGAATTGTATCAAACAAGTGACATATTACTATTTATTTTCATTTTTACTTTTATATATGATGAAGTTTTTATTATTCTATCAACGTCTCACTAATATCAATATAAAATTTAAAATTGTAGAAAGCTTATTAAGGCCGAAGCGTTTACTACTTCATTATTCGAATCAATTATTAGAGAATAGAAAATAAAATATTATTTACAACTTCCTATAGTTGGTCCGTCTCCCCCTTTAATTTGCATTGCATTAAACGAGCTTAATTTTCTTTTAAAGGCATATTACTAATAATTCAAAGATACGTATCGCCAGCACAATGATTAACAAATAAAAAGATTTTTGCGACCAGAACTGGCAAAACGTTTATCATTCAAATAACTACGTTTCGACCATCCGGATTGTGGTGTCCTTATCAAGTTAGAGCGAGGGTCCTTGTGGCTATTATAATCTTGCAATTGCTAGTTAAATCTTAGTATTTAACATTATCGTACCTTGCAACTGCAAGATTATAATAGCCACGAGGACTAAGAAAATCCTAAAGTCATCTGTTTTACACATTCGAATAGTTTTTGCGCTGGTAAATCTTTTTATTAGGTTTTATGCACAAAATAATGACAGGATAAGTTGCGGACCGCATAGCAGAACATTTTCATACTTAAAACACTCAGGTCAGAAGTCCAATGAAAAAGATGTTGATACTTGAAATTTCAAGTAGCAACAATACTCACAATTACAAGTCTCGCAATTACTTCGAGAGTAAAAACGGCAAATTAAAAATTTGTGTCATTAAAATCGCGAGTAAAAGAAAAAATGAGCCGAGATAAGTGCGTGAATAATAGTTTTTTACCTGGAGGTAAAAAAGTCGCAGCGTAATGTCTTGTATCAGCTCCTCGGCGACGTCCTCGGGATAAAATTTTGCACGGAACTTGAACTGCAGTGGCGTCTCCTTCTTGACCTCCTGATTCATCACCTGCAAAACGCCGAAGAAATGAGCGATCCGATAGAAATTGTCTCACGTTTTTGCCACACTTGACGCTCAAAACGTGTAAACGCATGCAAAGTGTTTGTGCGTCGCGTTATGCGATAATAGTTGGACATGTAAACAAATAGTTCTCGTGACGTAAAGAGAACTACGGATAAACTTACACGAGAGCCGCGAGATTGCGAGTCGCGCAAAATAGTAGGAGAATATCTTTTGTTAAAAAAGATGTGATTTTGCTCGTTGAAAAAAATGATATATTAATTTATTAATACTGTGGTAACTTATCGCATCGTATGCGTGTATATTATTTCAAGATATTTCAATGCAATTTAATACAACTTTTGTATCGCAGTAAAAATTAAGTAACGTATCTGCAGAATGTTTTCGCTATCAAAAGTTTTGTTTTTTTTTCCTCGTAAATGTAGCTCTTTATACTTATATAAGTAAATTCTTCTCTGTATTGTGATACCTTGTGCTGTCACTGATATATTCGCGATATATTGTTATTATCATTATATTATTATCAGAGATTTCATCATTATTACATAATGCGCGCGATATCAGATACGATCGAAGTTGAGTATCTCTGCCGCCGCGTCTCTTAAATGCAAAAAGTTCAAAAATCGTTCGTCATCGCGCGAGAAAATGTGTGATTACGGTAGTATCACTCCAATTACCTTGATGGACACATGTCTGGCGGTTGCGCGGAAAGTAAAAAAAAAATCCGCTTCTCCCAATTTGCATGCAATTCTTTTTGCCAGTCGAAAAAAGTCACGCCGCTACGACAATGCAATCACGTAATTGCGTTATTGTAAAAATAGAAAAGATAAGATAAAAGATACATCCTATTAATAGAAGTGAAATTTCCTTGAGAATATAACCATTTCCTATTGATAACGAAATGTTTATAACGTATCAATTTCCCGTTACAGCTTCGATAAACGAAACCGACGATCTGTCTGCGAGCGAGGATGGTGCTTTCGTGGGCGATCCGTTTTCGCGATACACAATCGCGTTTCATTGCGTTACGTTAAAAGCACTCAAGGCGACAAGTGCCGCGAGAGTTATTGGAGTGCTCGAGCACGAAAGTGTCTCGAACAGTGATTCCACGGGGAATGCATCTTGTCTCAGTCATTCATTATTCATCCTCGCCAAGCCTCATCCGGATACACCGCCGAAAGAACCGACGTCACGACGACGGTCGCGTTTGCTCCTCGCACTTCACCGGAGCATTTATCTGTGTGTTAACGAGGAATATAAAAAAAATGTTGCGGCAGATAAGGAGCCCAGGCGTTGTTCCTGGTAGCTATCGCAACGATAATTAGCGCGTTTTTACACGATATCTCGAGCGTGATACACGATAATAGCATTGCGATACGTAATTATATAACGTTTACACGACCTGTGCTATTTCGAAGATCAAATTAAGCGGAGAGGATTTAGTGACGCGAGATTCTTTATTCCGCCACGTCATCTCCCCCTCTTTACGGCAACTGCCAAACACGTTCAGTGAATCGCGATTCATATTGGCTACGTTCAGCAGAAAAAGCTGCTTTGCAACTGTCGTGAAAAAAAGAAACTTAAATCTGATTGGAGTATCCTCTTAGATTCAGCTAATTTTAAGATCCGAAACATACGGCGATCAGATTCAAAATTTTTACAGTTGCAAGCTTTTGTACTGAATTTCATAGAGATATGAAAAGCATAATTCATTTGCATTACGTCTAGTAATATTGTGTAAAAAAACACACGCGAGATTGTTTTATCTCGTATCGAAAACTTACATGTGTGACATAAGATAATAAAGAAATTAAAAAAACAGTTATAATACATGATAAAGATAATAAAATAATAACTCAAACAATTATATTATCCTACGAGCTAAGTGAGAAAAACATATTTTACAATGGCAAGATGTGGCAAAAGATAGAACTAAATTAATAGACAACATTTATTGGCTCCATCATGAATTTATTGCCCTTGGAGTAAAATCTGTTTAGTGGAAAATGCATTGTTAAATCGTGTAATCGTCGCAACGAAAAAGTTGCGGTGAATTTGAATGTTGAAAACCTGCTATCTTATATTAGAAGCCTATAAATGAGAACTGTGAATTCGTCGTCTAATGATTAATTTTGCTACTATTGAACGCCAAGGACGAGAGTGAAAGATCACCGACGACGTGTTATCTCTACTCAATTTGGGAATTAAAATCTGGGTGCTGAGAACACATAAAAATAATACAAGGATCAGAAAACTATTTTGCGATCTTACGTGGCAGATTTTTCGAAGACCGCACGGAACCACCTGCAATTATTCGCCAATATCACATATCGCCCTTACAGCTATCGTGTGTTATCGGTGCATCGCATGCATTCGGTTTTTGCGTTTAGTGCCAGAAGTAAATAAATCAAACTCGCAACAAGCCGCGTTTTATAAAACTGATATTATAAATCCGCGTTTTCAAGCAACCGTTTGTGCATAATTTATGACAATTAAAATTTCAAATGACTCTCTTTATCAGCGAGCGCAATCCAAAAGCCGTAACGACCAAATGATTTTGTCGCACGCGACGAGCGCGACTTATCGCGGAACGTTACTTGCACATCCGTCGGGCAGCAATAACAAAGAATAATTAGATCACGGAAAAAACTCTCGGTGTGTGTGCTTTTCACAAGAGGTACAGATTCTCGAGACGAACGAACGGATCGTCGAGTAGCATTCGTGCATTAGATGCATTTCAAGGACGGCATTTAAAAACAAAAATCCACCAGTCACGATCGCGATCATGATCATGATGTAACGGCATGGAATCGCATTCTTATTTATCAAACAACGTATGATTTGTTATCGCCACTTTTTCTGACAGAAGGTACGACAAACGGTCGACGGCGACGTCTCGTTTGACAGCAAGTACAATCTCGCAACGAGGCTGCACAATTTGTAAGAGAGTTTCACGAGTCACGGGGCGGCATTCATTAATCATCGTTATTCACAGTCGTTGCTGCCGTTGAATAAAAGTTTCTTCATTTATATGTGCGTACCAGTGTAAGAAATTCTTATGCTTAAACGATCTCAAATATCCGCCTTCGAACTCAACACTAGATATGTATATTTCGAAAAAAAAAATAAAAGAACGTCTCTTACCATCAGACGAGCGCATCGCTTTACATCGGCATGCAGCACAAGAGATTAACGAAAAGAACAGGAAGGGTAAAAAACTCGGTAAAAGACGTGCTTCTCACAAATGAGTTTTTTACCCAACTACTCAGAATGTCCTGTTTCAAAAATTTATAACAAAATTGTAATTTCAATGCTTATTTGTTGACCTTGAAGCACAGCTTTGAAACATTAGCACCAAATTTACTAAAATTAAGTATCGCGTTCCATACTCTACGTTATTCTCACTTTTGATCCACACAAGAACAAAACTAACAGCCTATGTCTGAATTTTCGTAATTAAAAAATTTTTTAAGTAGACAACACAAAAAAATACCATTCGATCTTTCAAAATTACTAAGAAATAGTATTTTTTTACACAAAGATACCAAGTTTTTACTTAATTTCTTAGTCTATTTGCAAAAGCTCCGTTTTTTCTTCATCTCTAAGTACAACACACTGATCAAACTGTTCGCAACTTACCCTAGACAAGAACGGAAGTCCACTCTTCCAGTTGTTAGTATTGCGGTTGGCATGCGTTCAAAGAATAAAAATACGGCGATGTTAAAGTATTGCGGTATAAAAGCCATTTCGTGGGTCTCGGCCACAAGGCGCGTCCTTGAAATTATCGGGTCGGCATTCGAGGTATGTTATAGATTTACGGTAAGCCAGGCAAATAGGATGCCACCTGCTGTGTCGTATAATGACAATAATTTTAAGGACCGCGCCGTGAACACGAGGAGGAATTTAACTCGAGTCGGCGAAGAAAAGTGTCATCGACGTAAATGCTAATTCTATATAATATAACGTCTCGTAAATAAATACTCAAGTTAAAGTTCTCCTTCTTGAACGAGACTATAAAAGTACGTACAAATTGGACAAAAAAAGAATTTCCAACGAGTCGGAAAAGAACTTTCGTTAGTTTTGTAGACAAAATTTCTAACTATTTTAATGGGACTGTATAGAAATTATAAATCAGCTTCCTCGTTTAAATTCGCGAATAAAAAAATGCATCACAGATTTGTGAAAATCGCAAGTTACTTGGAATCAGAAATAAAATTTCTGATTGGATGATGTCTTGTAAATTTGCTAAACGCCAAAAGTAACTGCGAGCCATCAGTTTTTAAATCCCTGGCGCACATCGATGAATAAAGTATCGATAAGTCAATAGATCAGGTTAACTGAGAATGACGTCCGGCAAGTTGTTCACATTATAGTTTAAATGTCATGTGCATAACAAGGCGAATTAATTATCATCATTAAATATTTTTAATGTTACTCATTTCTATCTAAAATCACAATCAAATTTCTGTGGATTTCTTCGACAGAAATATATAAAGTCCAAAACTGAAAAAGGCACAATTACTTTTCTACATTCTTAAAATTTGATTGAAAACAATTCTGCTCAATATTGAAGAAATTTATCATGAAATAGAGGGGTATTGCTTTTCTAACATCAATCTCTAATTTTTGTAACCATAAAAGAATCGAAAAGAACCTGATACAGTTCCATAAACACTCTAAATCTTTTGGAGTCTCACTCTTTTGGAGTGAGATTTCACTCGAAGAAATAATGAAAATACTGCCAGTCTGCCTGGAGTGCAATTTCAATTGTTAAAAGAGTGCCGTTATTCACTATTTACTCGGATTAAAAAGAGTGCTATGTTTTACTTTAATCGATTATTGTTAGCAGTATAAAATTCATGGACGAGAGCTTCGCTATTGTTTGGTCATTATGATCGTCGCATATAGAGGCTGTATTCTAATATGCACAGCCAGCACTGAAAGTCTATACTTTACGTGACAGTTTCGCTTATTCTGCTGATTGTCGCGGAAGAACCGTCTCGGCCCGTAACGGAGCCCCTTACTCCTGGTCCACGATCTTGCTTTAAGTAAGCTGTAAGCCTGAAGTCGTAAGAAATTAACCAATCACAGGTGAGAGTGAGGGGAATAAATGCCTGTGATTGGTTAATTAATTCTTACGGCTTAAGGCTTACAGCTCACTTAAAGCAAGATTGTGAACCATATGCCGGGCATCGTGATCTTATGTACTTACGAGTTCGGCGATCATCTAGTGACGGAATACCGTAGTTTAAGTTGGAGTGAATTTTGGAGTGCTAACGACTTTCACTTTAAAAATAAGAGTGAAATTCTTCACGTTTTGTCTTAGAATGAATTAATTCCCTCCATTGGAGTAAATATTTCTCGAATCATGGTGTCTCGAACAGAGTGAAGTGGTCAGTGACACCATGATTCGAGTGAAAATTTTACTCAAAAAATTTTAGAGATTATCTTTCCCGAGATATTAATATCACGAATTAACATTCCAAAGATCGCGGTAAAAGTCGCAAGGCAATTAAAAATAACGGATCCGAGTTTAGTTTCTAGTCTTATTCCCCGATCGGCCTGTTCTCATTCAGGTGCCATGCGATCCGGGTTTGCGTGCGTGGTCCAGCATGGCCTTTTACAACGATCGCGCGATAACGGAAATACGTGCGCAAGAGGCGCGGAGAACGGGTCGGAGTGACACGAGGAAAACGAGAATGTGCCGGATCGCCGGAGATCCCGCCGCGTTACGTAACAGTCCGCGAGCAGCGGCACCTGCGTGAACCCGCCGCGGAGATCGAGCACGATGATCGAGCAACCCCGCAGGACGTAGACCAGTTATACGGAGTCCTTGAAACGACGCCGTCCGTCGCCTACTTCGAGACGAGTTTCACGCGACGCGTTTATCACACGGCGCATATTTACGACTGTTTCTCTGACAGTGACGCACTCGCGTGATAACAAAATGAGGCATCGCTGCAGCACGATTTCATGAAAGACGCGAAGAGAAACGAAGGATGCTGCAGTTTTCGCTAAATTTGTCTCTTCTCTCTTTCTTTTTTTTTATTACATCTCTGTACGTTGTTCAATTTTATTGTAAAACGGAAGGTGATATGCATTTTCGAGCTACGCGGAGTAAGAGGGATATTAAATCTTTCAGTTGCGTGTTTAATCCTTTGAAGCATTTTGCTATTGAACCATTTTTTTTTTGTTAAACTTCGTATACAAGGGTTTTTGGGATCGCTGATTACGAATCCGTTATCAGATTTTCATAATTCAAAATGGCGGATTCAAGATAGCGGAATTCAAAACTTAAAAGAATAACATCATTCAACTGTAATTCAACTATGCTATATAAGAAATATTATTTAGATATTATTAGGACCCATGGAAACTAAATTCCAGTTAAAAATTCTTATAGAATATAAAAAAATTTTTCGCATGAAAAAATAGCGCGCGCGAAATGGCAGATGCAAAATTGAAATTTGATCTTCCGCAAAATGCAAGAAACCTGACCTAAATGCGTTAACTAAAAATTCAATGGCCAAAAAGTAAAGAAGTTGAGGCGGCAACGTGGATTACCACCATGCTTCGAAGAGTTAAGAGGCGATGCCCACTCTCGACTTGCATCCACGACTAATGTGTTTCCCAACGTGCGAATATATCACTTTGCCTTGTATCATTATTTTGCAAACAAAGAGGAATTGACTTGTCAACAATTTAATTCTCTACGCAGGATATGTCACGGCGTTAAATCCGCACCTGCGAAAAATATCATGCCTCGTCGTGCTTCACGGTCACGACGAATTACGATTCAATTAGCGATAAATTCTCATCGCGCGCGTTAATCGTGAAACGTGCGCACCCAAGCACGAGTCGAAGCATTAGCCGTACCTCATAAGTTACTCATTATCGCGGAATTCCAGCCATGTCAACCGTTCCAGTTTTATCGCTGTTCGTGTTTTGGACACCGATAAAGTTACCATTTTGTATCACGTACGTTCAACAATATCACGGCGATGTATATCGCTCGCCGAGGCCACTTTATGAATCCGTACCGCGAACTGAGGGTGACGTTTGTTCGTGTAATTTTCAGAAAATTTATTTTCCCAAGAAACTAGGAATCATAATTACCGTATAAATATCCGAGGCTTGTTATAGCGAAACCACTGTCTTATCTTGTTCCTATCGATAATGAAAGAATATTTCTCGGATTTATTTCTGCAGCTCTTGATCTTAAGAAAAAGTACCTTGGTCATTTTCTTTCCCTCGGTACCAACATGTGCATTGTTTTCTCCTTCGGTGGTATGATTTGCGACGGTGCTTCAGCGTAAGAAAAAATTGAATTGAGCGTCGGCGAAGAAAGAGCACGTACAATGTAATCTCAACGGGCACATATCGCACCCGCAAACGCTCGCAATTCACGCGAGAGCCGACCTCTGTTAAAGGGTTAATATGAATCCTAATTGGGAGAAAGTGATGCGCCATTAAAAGACTTGAGAGAAAAGTCTTGCGCGGAATAATCGACGATTCCGCGTACGGCAAATCGGGGCAGCGCGTGAATTTCTTAAAAGATGCAATTTTAGGGCAGGAAAGCTAAGAGGAACGAGACGACAAGACACTGTTTCGCTCGAGTAATCCTCGAGAACTTCAATATGAAAAAATATTATAGATTTTCAGAAGTTATTTGTTATCAAAGTCTCGGTCAATTTTTGCAAGAAAAAGGACTGTGCCTTAATTAACATTTTTATTTGATGTCTCGACTTTTTGTTTCCCTGATTATAAGCAATCGATGATTAAGCTCTTTGTGCTTTCCCGGGAGAGAAATTCCTTAGGCGGCTCCTCATCGCGTGACTCATCAGACGGTATTTTCATACGTACAACTGACGTAACACGCTCGATTGGATCGTTTAATAAGCGACACGCGTATCAGACAATGAGCGCGGGGGTGGTCGTCCGCGTTTCTCTTTCCCGCTTCTCTCTTTTATCGCAACCGCGACGCGATAAGCGGCCCGTTTCTACGAAGACCGTGGCATCACGTCCTCGTTCTTTTTCTCTCCTTTTCTCGAATCTCTACACGCCTAGCAAGTCTTGCGAAACGACCGACTCGTCCGCGGATGTTATCTTTTTCCCCCCAAGTTGAGAATACCACACGATAGAGTGCCGAAGAATCCGTTTTAAAACGTCCCAGATCCATCGCGTGTCGTCTCAGATTCCTCGAGACTGCGATACAGTTTCTCTGAGAAAGAGATGGAGAGATTGTGGCTAAAAAAGGTTTCAAAAGCCGAATTCCAAAGATAAGAAACATAAGCAGAGAAAAGTTTGTTAGATTTTGATTTTAATAAATATTAGCCAAACGGACTTTAAGAATCGGTTGCCAAGATAATGTCGAGAAGGATCGTGACGAGCGGTGACCTATGTCGACATTTTCACCGAGAAAAACATCGATTCCAAATTGCTCGAAGACTCAACAGGTGAAAGGTGGCTTCGCCAGGCTCGGAACACCTTATATATCGCTGCACAGAGATGATTTTCACACCTCCGCGCATACATCCGTACAGATCTTTCTTCTGTAATTGATTTATTAATCTTCGATTCTTTTCCCGATATTTTTTTCTATGTAAAGAACTAATAAAGAAATTAAAATAGTCAACAACAAAAATTAAACGCTGTTATTCTTG